GTTGTGCTCGGCTGGCGCGGGGAAGCGTTTGTGTAGCCAAGGGCCAAGTAATTTCATGGACTTGGGCGCGTGGAATTATTCCAGTGTCAAATATTGAATCAGGTTCCCGCCTGGTGGGCTTGAGGCTCAGGCGTCCAGTGTGGCCCCAGGCCCTACCCCGAGGTAGGCGTGTGAAGTGTGCTGGATGGTATGTTTGCAACCCTTAAACCCTAAACCCTAAACCCTAAACCCTATCACCTAAACCCTAACACACTGAACCCTCAACCCTAGAACCTTGGCCACTACACCCGAACCCCTTGAACCCTGAACCCTAGAACCCTGAACCCTGAACCCTAGAACCCACAACCCTAGCACAACCCTCGGCCCCAAGCGCAAACCAAAACCTTACAAGGCAAGGAGGAAGACGTTGCCAGGCAAACCGAGCCCCAGGGCAATCACACGCAGGTGTCTTGGTTGTTCTTCGGCAGGTTGGGATCGAGGTTCAGTTGCGCAAGTGGTCCTCCAACCCCAGCCCCTGCTAGGCGCAAGGAGGAAACGTGCCCTAGGGCATGTTTTGCATGAAGTGGGCTCGGGGTTGAGGTATCTGCTATGGCCCCAGCGCCTGCCTCGACGGTCTGCGCAAGGAGAGTTTCGCGCACCCCGCGGTGGGCGCACTGAGGATTAGGGGCCTGGCGGGGGACACTCTGGATCACACCTCTGGTGGGTGCAAAAGAAGGTTTTGTTGTGATAGGCTGGCGCGGGTAAGCGCTTGCGTAGCCAAGGGCCAAGTAATTTCATGGACTTGGGCGCGTGGAATTGTTCCAGGGTTAAATATTGAATCAGGTTCCCGCCTGGTGGGCTTGGGGCTCAGGCGTCCAGTGTGGCCCCAGGCCAGAGGTAGGCGCGCGAAGGAATGTGTGCTCGAGGGTGCGTGTTGCATGGGGTTGGCTCAGGGTTGGGATATCTGCTATGGCCCCAGCGCCTCCAGCGCCTGCCTCGGCGGTCTGCGCAAGGAGAGTTTCGCGCACCCCCGCGGTAGGCGCACTGAGGGCTAGGGCCCGATGGCGGAGACTCTGGATCACACCCTGGTGGGTGCAAAGAAGGTTTTGTTGTGATCGGCTGGCGCGGGGAAGCGTTTGCGTAGCCAAGGGCCAAGTAATTTCATGGACTTGGGCGCGTGGAATTATTCCAGGGTTAAATATTGAATCAGGTTCCCGCCTGGTGGGCTTGAGGCTCAGGCGTCCAGTGTGGCCCCAGGCCCTACCCCGAGGTAGGCGTGTGAAGTGTGCTGGATGGTATGTTTGCAACCCTAAACCCTAAACCCTAAACCCTAAACCCTAAACCACCTAAACCCTAACACACTGAACCCTCAACCCTAGAACCTTGGCCACTACACCCGAACCCCTTGAACCCTGAACCCTAGAACCCTGAACCCTGAACCCTAGAACCCACAACCCTAGGCCCCAAGCCGAAAACCAAAACCTCACAGGCAAGGAGGAAGACGTTGGCAGCAAACCGAGCCCCAGGGCAATCAGCACGCAAGGTGTCTTGGTTGTTCTCGGGGCAGGTTGGGATCGAGGTTCAGTTGCGCAGCGTGGCCCCAGGCCCCTGCTAGGCGCAAGGAGGAAAACGTGCCCTAGGGCATGTTTGCATGAAGTGGGCTCGGGGTTGAGGTATCTGCTATGGCCCCAGCGCCTGCCTCGACGGTCTGCGCAAGGAGAGTTTCGCGCACCCCGCGGTAGGCGCACTGAGGATTAGGGGCCTGGCGGGGGAGACTCTGGATCACACCTCTGGTGGGTGCAACAGAAGGTTTTGTTGTGATAGGCTGGCGCGGGCAAGCGCTTGTGTAGCCAAGGGCCGGGTAATTTCATGGACCTGGGCGCGTGGAATTATTCCAGGGTTAAATATTGAATCAGGTTCCCGCCTGGTGGGCTTGGGGCTCAGGCGTCAAGTGTGGCCCCAGGCCAGAGGTAGGCGCGCGAAGGAATGTGTGCTCGAGGGTGCGTGTTGCATGGGGTTGGCTCAGGGTTGGGATATCTGCTATGGCCCCAGCGCCTCCAGCGCCTGCCTCGGCGGTCTGCGCAAGGAGAGTTTCGCGCACCCCCGCGGTAGGCGCACTGAGGGCTAGGGGCCTGATGGCGGAGACTCTGGATCACATCTCTGGTGTGTGCAAAAGAAGGTTCTGTTGTGATAGGCTGGCGCGGGTAAGCGCTTGTGTAGCCAAGGGCCAGGTAATTTCATGGACTTGGGCGCGTGGAATTATTCCAAGGTCAAATATTGAATCAGGTTCCCGCCTGGTGGGCTTGGGGCTCAGGCGTCAAGTGTGGCCCCAGGCCCGAGGTAGGCGCGCGACGGAATGTGTGCTCGAGGGTGCGTGTTGCATGGGGTTGGCTCAGGGTTGTGATATCTGCTATGGCCCCAGCGCCTCCAGCGCCTGCCTCGGCGGTCTGCGCAAGGAGAGTTTCGCGCACCCCGCGGTAGGCGCACTGAGGGCTAGGGGCCTGATGGCGGAGACTCTGGATCACATCTCTGGTGGGTGCAAAAGAAGGTTCTGTTGTGATCGGCTGGCGCGGGGAAGCGTTTGTGTAGCCAAGGGCCAAGTAATTTCATGGACTTGGGCGCGTGGAATTATTCCAGGGTTAAATATTGAATCAGGTTCCCGCCTGGTGGGCTTGAGGCTCAGGCGTCCAGTGTGGCCCCAGGCCCTACCCCGAGGTAGGCGTGTGAAGTGTGCTGGATGGTATGTTTGCAACCCTAAACCCTAAACCCTAAACCCTAAACCCTAAACCCTAAACCCTACCTGAACCCTCAACCCTAGAACCTTGGCCACTACACCCGAACCCCTTGAACCCTGAACCCTAGAACCCTGAACCCTGAACCCTAGAACCCACAACCCTAGGCCCCAAGCCGAAAACCAAAACCTTACAGGCAAGGAGGGAGACGTTGGCAGCAAACCGAGCCCCAGGGCAATCAGCACGCAAGGTGTCTTGGTTGTTCTCGGGGCAGGTTGGGATCGAGGTTCAGTTGCGCAGTGTGGCCCCAGGCCCCTGCTAGGCGCAAGGAGGAAAACGTGCCCTAGGGCATGTTTGCATGAAGTGGGCTCGGGGTTGAGGTATCTGCTATGGCCCCAGCGCCTGCCTCGACGGTCTGCGCAAGGAGAGTTTCGCGCACCCCGCGGTAGGCGCACTGAGGATTAGGGGCCTGGCGGGGGAGACTCTGGATCACACCTCTGGTGGGTGCAAAAAGAAGGTTTTGTGTAGCCAAGGGCCAAGTAATTTCATGGACTTGGGCGCGTGGAATTATTCCAGTGTTAACTATTGAATCAGGTTCCCGCCTGGTGGGCTTGAGGCTCAGGCGTCCAGTGTGGCCCCAGGCCCTACCCCGAGGTAGGCGTGTGAAGTGTGCTGGATGGTATGTTTGCAACCCTAAACCCTAAACCCTAAGACCTAAACCCTGTCACCTAAACCCTAACACACTGAACCCTCAACCCTAGAACCCTGGCCGCTACACCCGAACCCCTTGAACCCTGAACCCTAGAACCCTGAACCCTGAACCCTAGAACCCGCAACCCTAGGCCCCAAGCCGAAAACCAAAACCTTACAGGCAAGGAGGAAGACGTTGGCAGCAAACCGAGCCCCAGGGCAATCAGCACGCAAGGTGTCTTGGTTGTTCTCGGGGCAGGTTGGGGTCGAGGTTCAGGTGCGCAGTGTGGCTCCAGGCCCCTGCCAAGCGCAAGGAGGAATACGTGCACTAGGGCACGTGTGCATGAAGTGGGCTCGGGGTTGAAGTATATGCTATGGCCCCAGCGCCTGCCTCGACGGTCTGCGCAAGGAGAGTTTCGCGCACCCCGCGGCAGGCGCACTGAGGAGAAGGGGCCTGGTGGGGGAGACTCTGGATCACACCTCTGGTGGGTGCAAAAGAAGGTTCTGTTGTGATAGGCTGGCGCGGGTAAGCGCTTGTGTAGCCAAGGGCCAGGTAATTTCATGGACTTGGGCGCGTGGAATTATTCCAGGGTTAAGTATTGAATCGGGGTCCCGCCTGGTGGGCTAGGGGCCTGATGGGGGGAGGCTCTGGATTACACCTCTGGTGGGTGCAAAAGAAGGTTCTGTTGTGATCGGCTGGCGCGGGAAAGCGCTTGCGTAGCCAAGGGCCAAGTAGTTTCATGGACTTGGGCGCGTGGAACTATTCCAGGGTAAAAGTGATGCAGAGGGGTGGCCTGATAAGGTAGCTGGGGTCTGAGGCGAAACCAAGCTGGAGCAGTTCAAGAGCAAAGCATGCTCTGCCTTGGTCGCCCTGGGGTCAGCTCCCAGGGCCTGATGAAGCTAGCTGTTCATCAGGAAATCACCTCGCTGGATTCTCAGACAAGGTCTGAGAATCAGATGTACAAGAGTGTCAATGGGGTCCCGAGAAAGGCTTCCGAAACAGGTGGTGAAGGGAAGGGAGCAGTGAGCTTGAACGGCAGCAACTCGGATCAAGCTTCCAAGCGACTCCCGCGAAGAACTTCTTCCCCTCACCGCCCTGTGCTTGCAATGTCCAACGGGCTGCGCAACATGCACAAGCTCCGTGTCTACGCGGCTCGCCGCGCTCTGGTGCAGTCCTGCAAGGTCGTCTCGCCAGTGATGGCGATGACTTTCCAGCCTTCTTGCAGGGCTCTCCTGAAAACCAAGAAGCTCAATCTCAAGAAGGAAGGGGGGCGTGTAATAGGGAATTCAATGGACCCCGTGTCCATGAACTGGATATTCAAATTTGCAGAGAGCTCGGGAACAGTTTGTGGACACGGGTCATGTGGATTCTTTTGTTCGGCAGCCTTCCACAGGAGAAGGGCAAGAGCTTGGCCAGCAAGAAGCCCATCCTGAAGGATGCGGCGCAGGAGGGCAGGGGGTCATGGAACAGGGGATTGTTTGGAACCCGTGTCCACGAACTGACCACTGCGCTTGGTCAGTTCTTCTGGTTAATTAAATGTGCGAGGGAAGCTAGTGGACGCGAGGTCTCTGACTCTTCTGTCCCGCAGCCCCCCAAAGGAGAAGCGCACGGAATTCAGCAGCGTCCCCGTCTTCAAGGCCTTCGGGGACGGCAACTGCGCGTTCCGTGCGGTGTTCCAGTGGGAGAAAGACCCACAGAGGGAGACCCGCTACGTCATGACGAACGGGCTCCCGTGGACGAAAGGCGACAAGGACCCAGAGACTTTCCAAACGGCCACTAAGTTTATCTCATTAATGCTGCAAGCCTGTATTATAAACTTAGTGAGCTTTTGGATTGTGTCTGAAAAGGACACCGAGGAACACGGCATCGCCTTTCTCCGCGAGCTGGCCGTGGCAGTTCTCAAGGGGCCAGCCGAGGATGAACATGAGCGTGCTGGGCGCCAGGCTGGTGTGGACGGGGAGTCCTGGACAACGTACGTCAAGCGTATGTCCAGGAGCGGGCAGTGGGCCGACGAGCAAATGCTCCGCGCCCTGTCCAAGGCGATCGAGCACCCCATCATCGTCTTCGTGAAGAACTCCAACCCTGGCCACGAGGGGTTCTTCACGTGGGTCTACGGCGACCACTTCCCCACACCAGCGATCCCGTTATACTTCAACGGGCGGGATCACTACGACTTGGTGGACGAGGTCTGGGCGCGCGCGCAGGGGCTGGGCCTCAAGTTCCGCAGCACGGAGGGCACGCCCAACCGAGCCAAGACGACGCACACCATGGCGGCTCCGACATCAAAGCCCAAGCCGCTGGAGGACAGAGAGCCTGAGGGAAATGTGTGTTATGGAGCTTTGTCCATGAACTGACTGCAAGCCACGGGAGATAGCGTAGTAAGCGAAAAAGTTACGACCAACAGAAGTCAGTTCGTGGACCAGACCACAACGAACACTTTTCCATCAGCTCTTCAGGAGAAAAAAGAGGAGAAGAACAAGAGCAAGCAGCCCAGCCTCAAGGGCAAACGGTCCTTGGACGCAGACTTGGACCAGGCCGTGATCACGGAGCCTCTCGTCCCTCCCTCCAAGAAGTACCCTCCGACCCGCAAGGCGCCGGACCGCACCAAGAGATCGAAGTCCACGCACCTGGACGGCGAGAGGGAGTGGTACGTGGCGGGGGCGGTGCACGAGACTCTGGGGCCATTGCGCTCGCCCAAGATGTCCCCGAAGACCGCGCAGGCGGGGCTCTGTGCAAAATTGTTTTATGCGGGCGGAGTCCATGAAATTATTGGGAAACAAACAAAGCAAGAAACGCACAGGAGCAGACACACCAAGAGTTCATGGACCCGCTGCGCCGAATGGTTTTGCACGGGGTCGCCACTGCAAGGGGTATTTCAACCAGTTCATGCTGCTGGTCAAGTGGACTGACGACCACGACCTCGTCAGGGGCAAGTGGACAGACCACGAGCTCAAGACGTCGCGGAAGGCCTCGCGGGACAAGGTGGTGGAGTACATGGAGATTGGCAATCTGGAGGCGTACTTCCACCACCTGGCAACCACGCCGCTCTCCAATAAAGCTGGGGCGAAGAGCGCAGTCTCCAAAGCGTGGCTGGACTGCGTCAAGCGGTTCATGAACTCGCTCGCCCACAGCTTCGTCCGCCCCACGATGAACAAGGACGACTTCGGGGTGTACATGCGGCGCCTGGGGGTTGCGAGAACCAAGGCGCGCAAGGAAAAGAAATCTCACCTCTACTCTCCTGGTTCGGGGGAAGTAAGTTCATGGACAAGGGTCCACGGGCCTGTCCCGTCGGCTTAATCTTCCAGCAGTCTGTTCCGTGAGCTTGCTTGCTTTTTTTGAAACAAGGCGGGTGAAAGTGAGATTCCTTCCAGGCTGGGGCCGAGTCCCAGCAGCTGGCGGTCCCGAAACACAAGGGCGACATCTTTGTGCCCGACGAAGAGCGCCCAGACGGCGGCTACTGGGTGCGCAAGCCCGAGGCCACCTTCGAGACCATGATGGCCAGCGTGAGCCTGCACGAGGCCAAAGTGCAGGCTCACGAGTACGCCCTGGCCTCGATGCTGCACCCCGCTGGGGGGAAGGAGCCAGAGCAGGACCAGAACAAGATTAACAAGGCCAAGCTCGCTCTGGCCCTCTCGAAACAGCAGCTTCTAGCAGGCTACCTGCTGCTGTGGACCACCGAGAGGACCTCCGACCTGCGCAAGCTTGTGGTCAACTGGGACATCGGCTCCTACAAGGACAGGGCAAGGGGAACCTCAGGCAATGGAGCCCGAGTCCATGAACCCATAGCGAAATGATGATCGCCACAGGCATGCCAAAGGCAGGATGGTTCATGGACTTGGGGCCAACGGTTTGGGATTCCACTCGCCCTCGGAGGAACCCAGCGGCTGCTTCTCGGTCCTGGTCTCCTCCCAGTCTCACAAGACGAAGTGGAGCCAGGACACGGCGATCGGCAACAGGGGCGACGTAGGGAAGATTCTGTGCGGCCGCGTCCAGCAGCTGTACGAAGACTACCTGCGGCGTCACCGACCCGTGCTGGTCGAGAACCTGGGCGTGAAGGCGCGCTACGACAGGACGTTCACGGCAGCCAAAGACGGTGAAGGCCAGAGTGTTGAAATGCAGCAGTTCGTGCATGAGTGTCCATGAAACTGACTGCGGGGTCTGGTGCCCGCAAACATGAAAAGGGACCAGTTTAACCATAACCAGATTTCGAAGCCACTTCATGGAGCTATGTGCGCGAACTGCTGTAATCCAATACCCTTTCCAGGGGCGCAGGTGTGCAAGACGCTGTTCCCTGGCTATTGGCACGATAGCCAGACCAGCGCCTTCAGCCACAAGGTCCTCAACGTATCCTTTGGGAGCGTTGGGGAGCGCACCGTGCGCAACATCCTGTCCAAGGAGTTCTCGTCGAACGCGTCCAGGTTCGAGGTGGACCCAGCTGCAATCCACCAGCAGCTCCACCACTCCGAGGAGATCCACAACAAGGTTGGGGGTCTTACATACACTGGTACGTGGACATGCGCCTGCGGCCTTGAATTGGAAACGGGCCATATCGCAAACAAGGGTTTGGACGTATAGATACTGCGCGGGTCTGTTTTCAGTTTGGTCCGTGGGTGGTTGTCCATGCCCTGCTGCATGGAAGGCCCCTTATAAGGTGTACCTCAGTGGTCTTCGGAACAGCGTCAACGCGCTGCAGATGCACGTATTCCGCTGGTGAAGGTCGGGCAACTGGGCTCTGGGAGTGTGCGGGGGCGCTTGGGGGAAAACCAATCGTGAGCCAGGGATTTTCCTGGCCAGGGCTGTCTTTGGAAAGCGCTGTTTGGAATAACGCCCCCGCGCTCTCCTGTAGCGCAATCGCCTTCTCAGGTCCACCATGTCCTCCCCGTGAATGGCCACCACGGGCATACTATGAACCTATGCCGCCCCTGGCGCGGGCGTTCGTCAAGGTCGGGGAACTGCTCTCTGGGAGTGTGTGTGAATGGGTTCGTCGGGCCGAAAAACTACAGTGAGAGAGGAACGCTGCGTTCCAACTCCAGTTTTTCGGGATAGTTCCGTGGGCCCCGTCTGCATACACTTCTGTAGCGCAATTGCCTTCTCAGGTCTACTACGGCGGCTTCCCGAATGATATTTACTGACCTGGTAGGGTCGCTTTTGGTACAGCTGATTCCCGTCGCGGGCGCCTGCGCCCAAAAAGGAGCGCGAGACGTGAGGACAGGTCATTGTCCACTCTTTCCTTTTCTCCTTTCTAACTACGGTTCCTTTCTCTGTGCCTTTCCCGTCCTGTTCCTTATCCCTGTCCATGGGAACCTTTCTGTTTCCTTCTCCTGCTGTCAGTGTCCTTTAATTCCTGCCCTGCGGTCCCTGTCTATTCCCATTGTTCTCTCTCCTGTTCTACATTCCTAAAAGTTTTCCTGGGTTCGGTTGTCTGGGGGTGGGCTCCTCGGGCCGTGTCGATTCCTGGCAACAATGAGTGGGGATGGCATCCCCATGAGACCCTCTTGTAAAGCCCCACGGCTTTACAAGGTAATACCTGATGGAGATTTGCCATCGGGGGGGACCAGGAAGCCTGCGAGACACAAAGGGACACTGAATTTACACATCGGTTGTGTGGATCAGGGTGCATGATCCTCTTGGGTTAATTGTTTCATGGTCTCGGGTCCATGAACTGCTTGGTCGTGAACTAAAGCGAAAACGTGATGCCGCGACCCCCTGCTGTTCAACATGTGTTTCTTTCCTGATGGTTCCCCTTTCGCAATTCATTTGTCGACCAAGCATCGGCGCACAGGAGCCACCAGGTGATGCTTTTGAACTTGGAGACTGTTCGGGAGCGGTTCTGGGCCCAGTCGCTGCATGGAGCGACCTGGCCAGGCAAAGCAGGACTTGGAGCTGGGCAGGGTCACGCAAAGCAGACCTGGAGCTGCTCAAGGTAAACAAGACAGAACAGGATTCCGATCTCGTAAGTTCGTGCGCTCCAGTCCATGAACCTACTGGCCAGGAAGCCTTGGAGTAGGTAGCTTCGGGCTCTGCCCAGAGCAGGTGGCTTCGGCCAGTACCTGGAGCCGAGCAGGGCCGCCAAGCAGAAATTAAAGCGACACAAAACCAGGCGCACCAGAACCTGGAGCTGAGCAGGGTCCTGTCCCAAGGCCGAGCGGTGTTCCTGGCCAGTGGGTTCCTTGGCCCCAGTCCAAGAACCTACTGGCCAGGAGGCCTTGGAGTAGGTAGCTTCGGGCAGCCAGAGAAGCGCCCTGCGCGGTTCCGAGCGACCCAGGGAAGCGCGTTGGCAGGTAGCTTCGGCCAGCACCTGGAACCAAACAGGTTGGGCCAAGCAGAACTTGCCAGGCACGCAAAATCCAAAAAAACTGTCGGTTCCCAGGGTTTGGAGACAGGTTTGCGCACCGAGAAAACCAAACCACCCTACGCAAAGTTCCGAAATCGTCGATTCTCACGCTTGGCAGGTTCGTGGGCCCCAGTCCACGAACCTACTGGCCAGGAGGCCGTGGATTGGGCAGCTTCGGCCTGCTCAAGGCAACAGGGCTAGGCAGGGCAGGACCTGGAGCCCAGTAGGGCTGGGCATAGCTGGGCAAGCGCGCCGCTGCCACAAAAACGCAGCCGCGCAACGCGCCAGCAAACACACTCCCGAGCAATGGCGCGCGAGCGCGGGAAGCCATGGCGGCGGCGCTGCGGCCACACAAACAGCCGAGCGACGCACCAGACATGGAGAATCCCGAGACTGTCGATCCCCAGGGTTTGCTGGCAGGTTTGCGAACCGATGAAACCAAACCACCCTACGCCAGGTTCCGAACGTGTCGATTCCCACGGTTGGCAGGTTCGTGGGCCGCAGTCCATGAACCTACTGGCCAGGAAGCCGTGGATTGGGCAGCTTCGGCCTTCCCGAGGCAGCAGGGCTAGGCAACGCAGGACCTAGAGCCAAGCAGGGCTCGGCAAACCAGGGCATGGAGCAACGCAGAGAAAGGCATCCCAGAACCTGGAGCAGAACACTGCCAGGCCCAGTAGAGCCTGGAGCAGCGCAGGGTCAATCAAAGCAGGTTCTGGTTCGGAGCAAGGCAAACAAGACAGAGCAGGATTCCGATCAAGTGAGTTCGTGCTGCCCAGTCCATGAACCTACTGGCCAGGAAGCCTTTGAGTAAAGAGCTTTGGGCTGCACTGAGAAGCGCACTGCGCGTTTTCGAGCCTGGGATGCCCATCGAAGGGCAAAGGCAGGGCGCAGTGGTTTCATGGAGCGAGCTCGTGTTTGCAGAAGCGAAGGGAGAGGGAAAAAGAGACGAGTAGGTTCATGGACTGGGCTCGTGTGTGCAAAAGGGAAAAGGTAGGAAAAAGCAGACGGGTAATTTTTCGGACTTGCAGTCCACGGAACTATCGTACATATATAAAAATAAAACCTCTCTCCATGAACCCACCGGCGGCGCAGCCGCCGGCGGCCTTCGGCCGCCGGCGGCTGCGCCGCCGGTGGGTTCATGGAGAGAGGTTTTATTTTCAGATCGGTTCGTGGACCAGCGTCGACCAACCTACGTCGGGAGAGCGTTCTGGGGATGCGGCTGGAACATTTCCCAAATGGAGAATTTCATGGATCCAAGTCCATGACATTTTCTGCCGAGAAGGACGCGCAGCGCACGCTCGCCGTTGCCAAAACGGAAAAGTTCATGGCTCCAAGTCCATGAAATTTTCCTGCCCTGGGCCAAGGAACGAAAGCTGTCGTGGGAGCTCCTGGAAGCGCTCCCAGAGCGCCTGGGAGCTCCTGGGCGCGCCTGGGCGCGCCTGGGGGCTCCTGGGAGCGCTTGGGAGCTCTTGGGAGCTTTCGAAAAAGCGCGCAGGAGCTCCTGGGAGGGCCCTGGGAGCTCTTGGGAGGTCCTGGGAGCTCTCCTGGGAGCTCTCCTGGTAGCGCTCCTGGTAGCTTTGCTGGGAGCTCTCCGAAGCGCTCCTGGGAGCTCCTGGGAGCGCTTGGGCGCGCCTGGGAGCGCTTGGGAAGGCCCTGGGAGCTCCTGTGAGCTTTCGAAAGCGCGCAGGAGCTCCTGGGAAAGCCCTGGGAGCTCCTGGGAGCTCCTGGGAAGTCCTGGGAGCTCTCCGGGGAGCTCTCCTGGTAGCGCTCCTGGTAGCTTAGCTGGGAGCTCTCCTGTAAGCGCTCCTGGGAGCTCCTGGGAGCGCTTGGGAGCGCCTGAGAGCTCGGTCGATTC